CCAGACCAGTCTTTGTGTAAAGAAAAACTCGCTCATTTTCCCTGAGCCAAAATCACAGCACAAGAAGGAAGGGTTGGGGAAATGACTCAGTGGCTAAGGGCACTGCTTGCTCTTGTAGAGAACTTAGGTTTGGTTCCCAGCACCCACATGGTGCCCCACAACCATCTATAACTCTAGTTCTAAATGATCTGATACTTAAAAAATATTTTACTGACTTATTTTTTGTTTTTGTTTCACGGACATTGGTGTTTTCCCTACATGTATGTCTATATGAGGGTGTCATATTGCTTAGAGTTACAGAATCTCTGAGTACTGGGAATTAAAACCAGGTCCTCTGAGAAAGTGCTTACAACCACTGAGTCATCTATCTCTACAACCCTGATCTGATATTTTTATATGACTTTCAAGTAGGGCACCAGGCATAGTCATGATGCATGTACATGCATGGGGGAAAGGCACTCATGCTCAAAACACAGATTCTGTATGGCCTGAATGGGACAGGCACAGGGAGAAAGTCAGTAGATGGATAGGAATGGCTTCCGAGCATCTATATACTCTAGGTCAAGCTCAATCAGCGACACACTGCTCTGGCTTGCCTTCTGTGGCTTCAGGGCTACCATTCCTCCTCACCAACCCACTTGCTTACCTGGTTCTTTCTCTCAGTTTTTTTTTAAACTAATAAACTTCATTTTTTGAGAAGCTCAAAATAGTTCAGCAGAAAGTAAGGTCAAGATATCAAATTCCACTCTTTAAGATGCCCCTTTGCAACCCCGACCAGGCTGGTGCTTTGTTAAACTACACTGACACTCCCTCCACTATTGCCCAAGGGTGTAGCTCATCTTAGGGTCTGCTCTAGGTGCTGCATAATTTATGGGTTTAGACACTTCATCATGAACAACAGTTTTACTGCCTGCAACTCCTCTGTGCTCCACCTACCCACCCCTTCATAATCATAGACTTTGATCCTTCGGCTTTTCTAGAATAGAAAAATAGCTGGAGCCATATAGAAGCCAGATTTTCTAGACTGACTTCTCTCACACGGCAATACCGAACTGAGTTTATTCCATGTTTTGTGGTTTAGTAGCTCATTGCTTTTTATTATGGAATTCTATTTCATTCTATGAATGTACCATTGTTTGTCTGTTTACATTACTGAAGAATATCCTGGTTGCTTCCAAGTTTGGGAAATTATGAACATAAATGCGACAAACATCCATAAGTAGCTCTTTGTGTAGAAGAAAGCCTACAGCTTATTTGTCTAAATATCAAGGAATTAGGTTACTGGTGTGTACGTAAAAGGTATAGTTAGCTTTGTTAAAAACAAAAAGAAAACTAAAAGCTGTTCAACACTTTTCCCTCCCTTACTTGCACTGTTCTTTTCTCAACTGATCTAACCACATATTTATTTATACAAAGGGTCATACGAGCTTATTTGCAAATTCCATTCTCTGTCGTACTTGACCTGGTTGTGACGTTACCAGAGCAAGGTCAGAATTGCACAAGCATGCAGGAGCCAAAAGACCTAACCTTTCTTCAGAGCACATTACACGGATTTATGGAGCAATCTTTCAGTGAACCGGCTCTGGCCTCTGGCTCTCTACTTCCTTCTTTGGGCACCGTGAGATGTTGGTCATAGTGCACCTGAGCTGGAACTGGCCTGCAGCTTTAGGACGGAGCATACGATTTCATCTAATAAATGTTACCTGCTGTTAGTGTTACTCGTAAGCAAACTTGTAGCATTAAAAACTGGCGGGATGTGTGCCTATAGAGGTTGGAGTTCATGTCTTGCGACTTCTCTAAGATTTATTTAATATTTTTCAGCTCTGATTTTGGTCTACCCAGTACACTGAATTATTTATCATGATCAATCATGATGCTAGCTAAAATTTTGGTATATTTAAGCAGTTGCTTCCAGATATTTTGAGATAATTGTACTACAATATTTATTTTATTGGAATGCAGCCATATATGGAATCAAAAGTTTTTCCTCCCAGTATTTTCATTACCTATCTCTGCTTTAAATAGAAACCCACAAACAGTAGCCAGGAACTTGCTCCAGTGATAGGTGGTAAGGAAACCATGGGAGTTGGCACCTATGGTTTGGAGGAATGGTGCCTGCTGTAGTGGTCTTGGGTCTCTCACTTTGCTTACCAGCGTCAAACTGCTACACCTGACTCTCTCACTGTTCACTGCTGTCGAGACTCTAGGGTGAGTCCTTGGAGCAGTCCTCACTAACCTCAGCAGGGGGGTTCTGCTATGGCGAGAAGAAACTGGGTGACTGGGTTTCTGCATTTTAAAAGTCTTTCCTCTAGTATCTTGGCAACCAGAATCTGTACAAACTTCTGACATAACTGCTCCATGGCATGGCTAAGGAGAAAGTTTTTTTTTTTTTTTTTTTGTGTAGATGAGAGAGAGAGAGAGAGAGAGAGAGAGAGAGAGAGGCAGTCAGAGGCATCTGGTAGAGTCCAGAGCAGAGAGAGAGAAGTAGACTGAGCATGGTCAGCAGACTGAACACGGCCAGGTTATCTGTGAGAGAGGAGGGCAGCGGGGGATCCAGACTAGAGAGCACGTCGAGGAGCAGGAGCGGGAAGAGCGCACAGCTGAACAGCAGGCGACAAGGAGAAGGAGCAGACAGGAGAGGGAAGCCCATCTAGGGTAGGAGAGGAAATGAGGAGGGCTAGCACGCTAGCATAGACTCTGAAATATATAGCAGGTACTTGTGACACAGGAGCATAGCACCACAGGTAGATCAATGTCTCTTCTGCAAATGTGGGCGTAATGACTTCATGTTGGGGGGCGGGGAACCAATGTCACAAGCTCCCGAGGAACGCTGTCTTTTATCGAACTGCCAGAAATCCCCCGATAGTACAGCTGAGCTCATTTCTGAATATTTGTGCTGCCTTTTTGAGTTTGGGGAATTGGAGTTTCCTTTGGCCTTGTGTCTTTGCACCGTAATTACCGAGGGTCTTCTACTCCACATCTAGTCCTGTGAACCTCGGAGAGCACCTTTCCTTGTAGACATCAATATTTCATGCCTGAATTATTAACCCATCCATCCATCCAACAAATGTTCATTGATTACGTGCCGGGTACCAGGTGATGTTCTTAGAATCAATGACACAGTGGTGATGTAGACAATGTGAACACTCTTGGAATTGTGACCTCATTATAAAGAGTGGCATATGAAGACCCCAAAGCAAAGTCAGGTTTGAGAATGAGAGGGTCTGCTGGTTTTGTAGGATGCCCTTTCGGATGCAGTCTTCAAATGAGCCACCCAGACATGGGAGTGAGCATCTTTATGGAGAAATACACACAAATGGGCAGCAGTAGGAACATGTCTTAGAGATGAAGCTGGAGGCTGATGTGGGGCAGGCAGTCAGGAGTGTGGCTCACACCAGTGCCTCAGCCAGGTCCACAGAACACACTAAGCATTTGGAACCACACTGTTCACCTAAATGGGGTGGAGGAGGTGGTGATGTACTCGGGGGATGCAGTGACTCAGAAGCTTTGAGAGTAGCAGGCAGCCATACAGTCAGGAGCAGGCGCTGTGTGCCTTGGCAATCACTGAGCTTCTGACCATCGGGTACTTCCTATGTGTGGCACATTTGCCATTTCAGAGACTCATCAAAAACCCCAAATGAGGGATATGCAGGCTGCACCATGAAGTTCTAGTGGGGCTCATATTTGAATGATGAGGAGCGTGAAGCTAGAATGAAGAAAAAGAGACACGTCTGTCCTGGAGAGCCTGGCGGGGACCGGCTGGAAGTGCCTGCAGAGAGATCCTGTGTATTGGAGTGTGTGACTGTGCACAGGAAAGCCTGACTCCAGATAAGGAGACTCAGGAAAACTCTAGAGCGAAGACTTTGCAAAGACCTCAGGTCCTTTTTTTATGGACGTCAGGGGTCTTCTGAATTCACTTCTCCCACCTGAGAAGCCTCTTAAGTGCAAATATTCTGCCCTGGTTCTCGGGGTAGCATCATCTTGACTAATCTTACAATAACTAACGACCCTATTGCAGTGGTTCTCAACCTTTGGGTCCTGACTTCTTTAGGGGTAAATGACCTTTCACAGGGGTTGCCTAAGACCACCAGGAACCACAGATACTTGCATTATGATTCATAACAGTAGCAAAATTACAGTTATGAAGTAGCAATGAAAATAGTTTTATGGTTGGGGTCACCACAGTATGAGGAGCTGTATGAAAGGTTGCAGCATTAGGAAGGTTGAGGACCACTGCCTTATTGCAGTCAAAGTTTACCTCATTTCTTAGATATAGCATATTATTAAACATAGCGGATTATTTCCTTTCTCACGTTTTTATGCTTGGTGAAAACTCAGGATGGTTGATGGAAGAAGCAACTGGAAACTAACAATACAAATGCAAACAAGACCAGCCTCATAAGGGGCAGCGAAGACAAAGGTGTCACATGAGCTAGCTTTTAAAATAAGACACCCGAGGGGCTGGAGAGACAGCTCAGGAAGCCAGAGCACCACTGCTGTAGAAGGCCGCAACCGCACTCTCCACCATAGATGGCGCTGCACCGCCAGGTGAGCTAGAAAGCTCACACATGTTGGTATTTTTCCACTACTCCCAAGGTATCACCTGGGACTGGGAGCAGCGGACCAATCCAAGAGTGACACGTCCAAAGCAGGGTCTGTTTCCTATATAAGGGATGGGTTCCATCATATCGGGGTCTCCGCCATGTGGCTTATGCTCTAGCTCCCAAGAGGATTAAAGCCTTTCTGCAGAAGAATCCTGTGTCCCGCGTGGTTCTTGCAGGCGAGAGGAAGCGTGGGACACACTGCTCCTCCAGAAGCCTCAGCACATAGGTCAGGAGGTTCACACCATCTGTAAACCCAGTCCCAGGGGCTCTGCCCACACCTTCCTACCTCTGCAGGACCCAGGTGGGTACAGAGTACACAGATATGCCAGCAAAATACCCACACACATTAAAAAGACACCGGGGTCTTAATCATTTCAGTAACTTCAATTTTAATAAACTGTTTCCCATGTTCCAATAGCAAACTTCCCATTTCCTTAATCACTCCTTGTATGCTGGGCACTGTGCGTGGGGCTAAGCTGGAACATTAGAGTCCCTTAGATGTGGACACAGACGAGCAGGAAGGTAGCTTTATTATATGCTACAAAACTCCTAAGAAGTCACTGCTATGTCTGGGGTCTCCCCAAATTGGTGGCTTTAGGTTCCTAAATCTCTGTGTCTTTAGGCCAGGCATATACAAGAGGCAGAACCAGATAGATCTCTGTGAGTTCACGGCCAGCCTCAACTACACAATGAATTCCATGTCATCTAAGACTCCAAAGTGAAGTGTCTCAAAACACAAACCCTGATAAATAACACACAGGAATTATTTGTATTATTATACAAATTCTTTTTAAATTTAAATATTTTAGAATAAAATAAATCAAGAAAAATATTTGGAAGAAAGGAGGAAGGAAGAGAGGAAGGAAGGGGGAGGGATGAAGAGATCATCTGTTAATCGCTTTCACCAAGACCTGGATGATGCTGGTACCCTGGCGGAGGACTCTTCAGCCTCCAGAACCAGAAAGTCAGAGTTTATGGTTTGTGCTATCCAGACAACACCCAGCGAAGTGCCATCTAAACTTTCTACTGGATGCCCATGGCAAGGAAGACTAATGAGAGAAAAGAACGGGGGCAGAGCGACTACACCATGAGCATCTGCAGTGTACCAAGAACCTCGGCTGTGACTTTGTGTCCGTCACTCACTTCGTCTCTCACCAGGTCAGTCTGTACAGCAAGGCCAATGGGGACATCACTTCCAGAGAGCCTGGAGCACTAAGCTCCCCAGCATGCACGTGGCGTCTTAAACAGCTTCTCTGCACTTAGGGACTGTGTAGCCTCGGAACCTTCCTCTTCCGTAAATTGGAAACGAAGCATTGTTTATGGTGATGAGGGCTCTGTGGAGATTAAGGAAGTTAAAATAAGCGCCCACAGTCACATAGGGGGTCTGCAGTGTTCAGGGGCTTGAGAGGTTCAGATTGTGAGCTCTCTAGCGCCACAGATGGCCTAATCCATCGACCCGGTCACAGTTTTGTGGTCTATTCAGAGGTGAGGCCTGCATGGCTTTGAAGGGAGTATCTTGGCTCCAGCCCCATTTTGACCGTCTATGTCCAGGCCTCCATGAAGTGGACTTTGTTTCCTTATGACCTCACCCACAATGTCAACCTTGTGGCTGGTGTCCTCCTGTAAGAACTTTTCCTGAAGAGACGCGAACAGAGGTCTGTTCTCCCCATCTAGGCCACTGATACCAGAAGGGTTCTACCCAGGCCTAGCCAACACCAGTGAGCTTACTGAGCTTACTTACTCACAGGAGTGTGGGTGACTCTGTGTTGTCATGCGAGAGTTCTACCCCATGATAGATGACGAATGCATAGACGCGCCATCGTGTCCAGTTAGCACATTAACTATTATTATTAATTATTGTTCTTTATTACTATTACTATTATTATTATTATTGAAACTGGTTCTCACTACGTAGCTCCGGCTGACCTGTAATTCTTAGAGATCCATTTGCCTCTTCCTCCAAGCAGTGGGATTAAAGGAGAGCTCTGTCATGTCCCATCCCTCTATCATCCATTGTTTATTTTTATTGATAATTCCTGCTCTCATTATTTATTTATTTGTTTGTATGTGTGTTTGATGTGTGTGTGGCAGGCATATGGAGATCAGACAACAGCTATGGAGAACCCATTCTCTTCTGCTGCTGTGGTTTCTGGCAGTTGGACTCGGGTAGGCTTTGATGGTGAGTGTTCTTCACTACTCCGTTATTTGAAGACATAAAGGTTGCAGGTACACTTGATACCTCGCTCCCTCCTGACAAACTTGAAGCTTTTTTTTTTTGTCGAGTGTGGCCAGGCATCCTAATGGCTCCCCTTTCAACCTGATTTCTTCCTGTGCTCAGGACCAGACCCTGTGCCTTGAGCATCCAAAGGCTCTGGGACCGCACCCTCTCCCCAGTCCTCCTCCAAACTTTGTGGAAATGTAGCCTTTCCTGATCTTGTGTGTGTGCCCAGCTGAGTCCAGGGCAGGGTCAAGTCTGAGAGCCTGCGCTAGTGAGAGCTAGGTGTTCTACTAGGAGGGAGATTCCATCTTGCTTTCACTGAGGTTGGGTTTGAACTTCACCCATGTCTCTGGTTTGTTGCCCCAACTCCAAATATTTTAATTGACTGGAGTACAAAACTTTAAAACGCACGTGGGTGACACTGCCTTGTAAATTCCTGGTCATGGCTAAGATCCTCCGCATGGCTTAGGACCAGTGAGGAGTTTGGTTGCAAGGGTCCATGGGAGTTTTGCTTCATTTCTTCAAGTGACTTTGAGATTCTAGTTTGGTTTGCTGATTGTGAAGCTCCCAAAACAAAGATGTGCAACGGGAGACAAGGGCACATTCTTCTCTCCCCAACCACACGATCCCAGCCAACAAGACAAGCGACAAGGCTTCAGCCTTGCTTGGGTTTTACAGCATTGCCCAAGCTGTGGTACAGTTCCGTTCTCTCTTTCTCTCTCTCTCATTCAAAGCTGCTGTTGTGTTTCCTCAACTAAGGGTCTTCCCTTGCTTCTTCTGTGCCTGCTCATGTGTCAGAGGGCCCAGAGAGGGGGCATCTGCCAGGTGTTATGGAATAGTGGCCATGTAGTTGTCATCTTCTGAGTTTTAGGAGAGGCAGAAACTTGGGAGTTTATGAAAAGATTTGGGCTGTTACATCAGGGGTTAATTAAACATCTTAAAAGCCCCACATGTTTTCAGAGGCCAGAGTTGGTCCATTGACCTCCGAGACAAGCTGGGTGTTCTATACACAGCCCATTCTAGTTGGAAAAATCCCCCAAGAGCCCCTGCAACTAACCTGAGTGATTTGCTCTTCTTGGTCTGGTCGAAAAGACAAGATTGCTGGAGCACTCTGACCATGTGGTCAAAAGCATTGCAATCACTTAACTTGGTCCGTGATGGCTGGTTTGGTAGATCCTTAATCAAAGCACACCTTTCATAAGCCAAGCCCTCAAACATGTGCGTCTGACTCTGCTCCCAATTCAAGTGGTCCAAGTGTCCTTGTAGAATCGCTCTGGTCCTCTCCCCCTGATATGTAGTCAGACTTTAGGATGTACAGAATGTGTCTCTGGAGACAGCAGAAAGGAAGAAGGGAAGTTACACTCTTCTCTCTTCTGCCCTTTCTCCCACCCCAGCCCCTCCCTGCCCCTGTGTCACCTGGGGTCCTACCACTGGACAAAGCTCCTTGTATCTGCCATGTATCTGCAAGTGACCAAATGTTTCTCTCTCAATACTCTCTTTGTACACGATGAGGCGGCTGGCATTTGTTGCTAATAATAGATTGGTAACAGATGCCCTCATTGTTGGGTGCTGGGTACACGCAGCACAAATTAAAAACCCGAAACAAAGGGTTCAAACGCCTGGCAACTTTAACAGCGGGCTCTTACTGCTGGGAACAGGCCTTGTGCTGAACTGGGCAAGGTGAGGGGCAGGCTGCGGGAAGACTGGGAATGGAGTTTACTGTGGATGGATGACGTTGGGAACGTAGGTGGGCTCTTGGGAGAAGAGACCAGGAATAAAAAGGGCCAGTTGTCCAGAAGTTCACGTGTGTACTTAGGTCTGTGGTGGGGATGTCAGTGTCTAGTCACCCCTGACCCGGGAGAATCAGGTAGCAGGCTAGCCACAACCCTGGTCTCGCTTCATGGCGTGACTCTGTCTGCCATCCTTTTCATTTTCCTCAGCAAGGCCTTGTAATAGGTCAGAGGCGTTTGCAGGCTGTGAACCATTCGGGTCTAAGCATGAACACTTAGGACTTTCTTTCCTCCTGCCTTTGTCCCACAATGCTCTTATTTCCCACTCAGGAACCAGCACCGTGCTGCCCAGTATGTGGTCCAACAAGTGGATCTGGGGATTGAGATGGAAGGCGTCTGTCCTTTTATTCTCCTTCCTCTTGACTGTCTTTCCTTAGTGCTGGAACCATAAGTACACCTCCCACACCCTGCTAATGATTCTACCCTTAAAAATATTGGTTTGTTTTTATGTGTATGGATGTTGAGACTGCATATCTGTCTGTGCACCAGGAGTTTGCAGTGCGGTTTCCTTGGACACCAGAAGACAGCATCAGAATTCCAAGGACTGGAATTACAGATGGTTGTGATTAGTCTTGTGGGTCCCGGGACTTGAACCCAGGTCCTCTGAAAGAACAGCCAGTGCCCTTCACTGTTAGGTCATCTCTCCAGCCCGATCAACAGTTCTGTCTTGGTTTGGAGTTAAATAATCAGCATAAATCTTATAAACTGAGGTTAGTTAGTCTTTCTAATATTAAACAAAAGCCCCAGAAAAGTACCTTATAGGCTCCACATTTTATTCCCTGTGTCCGCAGTGATTAGCACCGAGCCTGGCACTAAATGAGTGAATTTTTCCCACATTCTCACCGGTATTCAGAGGAGAAAGCCTCTACTTCATTTGAATGGGGTGGGGTAGAAGGATGCAGAGGCAGAATGCCAGCCTCTTTCTGCCTGAGCAGATGGCTTCCAGGGACTGGGTGATATTAACAGTCTTCAGGTAGAAGAAAGAAACCAAGACGTTTACCCCAATCTGTAGACACGGTCTTGGGTCTTCCTGTTGCATTATTGCTCAAAACTTCTGTCATGTATTGTACTAGGAGCGGCAAGCAAGGGCACTGGAGCCACACAGCAGCAGGAAGAAAACCCTACTGACGGTTTTTCTGCAGTATTTACTTGCTGGATTTACTACAAAGGCTTAAATCTTATCTGATTTTTTTTGTTGTTTGTTTTTGTTTTTTTTTAAGACAAGGTTTCTCTGTAGCTTTGGGAACCTGTCCTGGGACTATCTCTTGTAGACCAGGTTGGCCTCGCAGTCACAGAGATCCACCTGCCTCTGCCTCTCGAGTGCTGGGATTAAAGGCGTGCACCACTACCGCCTGGCTAAATTTTATCTGTTTTTTTATGCTTATGAGAGCATGTGCATATATGTGAAGGTGCATGAGGAGGCTGGAAGACAACCTAAGGTGCACTTCAGAAATATTGTCTGTTTTGAAATCAGATCTCTCCCTGGCCTGGTGTTTGTTAATTAAGCTAGACCTAGACTGGCTGACCAGCCAGACCCAGAACCCCGTGCTTCATGGCACTGGGATTATAAGTATGCCGCCAAACAGATCGTTTGTGTGTGTGTTCTAGAAATTGAATTTAGGTCTTCCTGCTTGTGAGGTCAGCAGTTTTCCATCTCCCAGTGCTAATCCTGCATCCCTGAAGTGTTCAGCCATTTAATGACAGTTTCTTTTACTGTAGCCTCAAGGGGGAGGGAGATCAGAGGAGTAGGGTTGTGTACACATACATGCACCCCTCCTATGAGATCTGAAGTTGTCTAATACTGTTATATTTCAACTTTTTAGTGGGATAAAAATATAGAATCTACCATCTTTGCTATTTTCAAGTGTGAAGTATATATTTTTCTGAAATATCTCAATAACTTTTCTATTTTGTAAGACCGAGTCTCTGCACTCATTGACTATTGACCAGTACTACCTTTGAACATTATTCAGAGTTCTATAAGTAGAAAACATGTCAGCTGTAGGCACAGGTGAGCAGTGTTCTGTTCTCTGTCCTGTTGTTTAAGCATCTCTTACAGTCTTGTTCAGCTAACTCTCCCACCTATGGGATGATCCAACCGAGCTTCTAGGCTCACCATGATCAGGAAGAGAAAGAATGAATTCTAACCCAAAAGAGAACTTCTTAGCTCCCAGGCATCTCCCAAACCAAATTAGGTTAACTTCCTTATTGTGTGTTGATTCTCTTTAATGCTAGAGACTCTACAGACAGAACAGCCAAATACACAGCCTCAGGGGCCTAGAAATGACTGACTCTTCCAGGTTACAGCCATGCTATAACATGTCTCCTTTATTCCACCTTTGCTAACTGTCTGCCTAAATGCCATCTGCCCCATTGCACATAGTAGTTTCTCAGCTCAAATATTTTGTGCTTAGGTTTGCTTGTCTGTTTCTTGTCCCATTTTAGCTCCTGTGACGTGGAGGTCCCCTGATATTGTTCAGAGCTTTGTGGCTTTTGTGGAGCCTGTGTCTTGCCCTTCCTGGTCTCAGACAGAAGCTTCTGGGACATCCCTGACTTCTGCTTTCTCTTTGGGGTGCCCACCTGGCCCTGAAAAGCACTGGAGTAAGTTTAGGGGAGCGTGGGAACCAGGTGAAGCTCCACTTCCTCTGAATACCCAGCGACTAGTGTGCTCACCAGCTTGTGGAGGGCAGTTAAGAAACTTTCTGGCTGCTTCTTCTTCATTCAAATAGCAAATAACAGGAGGGCCCAGAGCACGAGGTGGTCAGGATTAGGGGCAACGGTCCTAGTCAAGGCCACGGGGCTCCCGGAGGTAAAGCTGAAGACAAGGAGTCACCAAGCTGGGCTGCCTGGTCAGGCACATGACGATCAAGTTCTCGGAGATCTGCTCGCTCCCCCTGTCCACTAAGGAATCTGAGATTATTGACTTTTTCCTGGGCGCATCCCTAAAGCATGGGGTTCTAAAGATCATGCCAGTGCAGAAACAGCAGTACAGGTTCAAGGCTTTTGTCACTAACGGGGACTACGATGGTTGGGTTGATCTTGGTGTTAAGGGCTCCAAGGAGGTAGCCACTGCCTTCCGAGGGCCCATCGTCTCAGCCATGCTTTTCACTGTGCCTGTGTTGGAGAGGCTGCTGGGGGGATAAGACTGGCAAACCCCACACTGCTCCATACAAGGTGACAGGTGCTGTGGCTCTGTGCTGGTGCATTCATCCCTGTCCCCAGAGACACTGGCATTGTCTCTGACCTTGTACTCAAGAGACTACTGATGATGACCAGTATTGATGAACTCTACACATCAGCCTGGGGCTGCACTGCCACCCTGGGCAACTTGCCAAGTCCACCTTTGACACTATCTCCAAGATCTACAGCTACCTGAATCCTGACCTCTGGAGAGATTGTCTTAGCAGCGTACCGGAGTGCTCATCAGTTTGTCCCTGCGTTCTCTATGTCTCCTTACCAGGAATTCACTGAGCATCTTGTGAAAACCATACCAGAGTCTCTGTTCAGAGGCCCCAGCTCCAGCTGTGGCCACCACAGAAGGATTTTCATACAAGAAAAATAAAGTGAATCAAGCCTGTTGAGAGAGAGAGAGAGAGAGAGAGAGAGAGAGAGAAAGGAAGAAGAAATGTTCTGAGACTGAGGTACATCTCTCAGCATTCCATGGTGACTCACAATTGTCTCTAATGCTAGCTCTAAGATCTAACAGCCTCTGATGGCCTCCCCTGGCAATAGGTGAATGAGTGGTCACAGAGCACACACAGGCCAACACTCACACATGTAAAATAAATGGGAAAAGAGGCATTCTGAGAGCAACGGGCTGAAGCGATAAAGCCTAAATGAAGAGTAGTAAGAAAAAGTCTTCCTTCTCTGCCCCTCCTATCCTTACTCCCTTCCTTTCTTCCTTTGTCCTCCCTACTTTGGAATTTGACTTTAAAACAGGTACAGAGTTCACATCTGAAGGTGAAGGAGGCAGTGCTGGGCTTAACAGGACCATCAGAAGGGTCACAGGTCAAGGGGGCAGTGCTGGGCTTAACAGGTGCAATCTAGAAGGGCCTTTTAACCTCAAGCTGTGTGGGGGTGGTGGGACAGGTGTGAGCTTGTGGGAGGTGAATGGTTCGAGGTGTGAGGTGGGTAGGGCAGACTGAAGGGGAAAGCAAGCAAAGGAGAGAGAGAAGTACTTCCCGCTGCGGAGGACCAAGGTTGAGTGGAATGTGGCCTGTTTGCGGAGCTGCAGGGAACTGAACAGCTCTCAGGGCAGGGTGCAAGGTGGGAGCGGAAAGAGGAAGGGAACCTAAGGAAGAGGGGTAGCGGTGGTAGAACCGGCAGCAGGCTGGTCTTCACCGCAGGCATAGGAAGAGTAATTGGAGAATGTGGGAGTAGAGGGCCAGGAAGTCACTGCATCTGCAAAGGAAGAGTAGGTGGAGTTGGCACTGAAGGCCTGGCTCATTCAGTGCGGTCGTAGGATGTCATTGTCACAGTAGGGGGACAAGGGAGGCTCACGTTTTCAAGCAACTTGGGCTAGAAACCCAAACCACAGACACGTACATTGATGCCATTGTATTTCACCTCAGCCACCATCTCTTCCTCGGCCTCAGCTGGAAGCTCTGGACAGGTGTTAGGGCTGTCTGGCTGTGAGGAGAGAGACGGAGAACTCAGGCCACAGCTGCCCCTCTGTCAGTAGTCAGTGGGGAAGAAAAGAGGCTCAGAGTGAACAAGGTACTCCCGAGCATTCCTGGATGCTGCTAAGCCAGTCTTCCCTGGAATGAGCTGCCAGTATTTGAATCAGCTCTGGGCCTCCCACCCGGTTAGGAGCTGTTCACTTCGCTCACACTGGCCTGAAACTCACCACGTAAGCAAGGCTGCCCTTCAAACCCCAAGGACCCACCTTCCTCTGTCTCCCCAGCATGGGATTACAAGTCTTTGACACTGTGCCCTGCTTTTTGACCCCAGCTTTGTGCATCACACGCAAATCGACTCTCAGATAGTGTTTGTATCCCATCCTCCACCCCCAAGTCTAGTCACTGTGGCAGTCACCATGACCACTGAATCATCCCCCCAGCCTGCTTGTTTTCATCCTTTCTGGAACACTCCAGTCTCTCCCGGAAATATGGCCGAAAGGCCCAAGTTTAGACAATAGTTTTTGTTTGTTTAGTTTGACTTTTTTGACATAGGTCTTGCTATGTAGCCCAGGCTGGTCTTAAATTCTCATTTCTCTGGGCCCCTTCTCTCTAGTGCTGGGATTATAAACTCGAGTCACCTTGCTTGGATCATTAGCCTCATGCATAGTATTCTTTCCAAACTTCAGGTTATAATAATCCATTAGTGGCTCTGAGAAAACATTTAAGTCAGCAACTAGTCATTACTTTTTATTTTTAAATTTAATTAATTAGTTATTTGAGACAGGCTTTCAAACCCACACTGCCTTTGAACTCCTGGTCCCCCTACTTCTACTTCCCTACGGGCATGCTACCACAGCTAGTTTACACAGTACTGGGAATGGGACCCCGGGCTTCTTACACACCAGGCAAGCACACCACGATTGGGCTGCGTTCCTCCTGCTGTCGGTTCAGACTGCATCTTGTCAGGCCCTCTCCTTAGACTATAGCCTAAAGTCCTGTAGGAGTAACGCGGTGAATTCACGGTGGGTTTTCAGGGATTCTTTTAATAGCGCGCCTTCTGAATTGATAACAAGCTGGGTTCCCTCTGGGCCGTACTCACCACACAGACACGCTGCTCTTGTTTGCTTTCACTGTGCTAATCCGAGGCGGGAGTGAACGCGGGCATATAAACGGTGGGAGGAATAAAGGGTGTTGGTGGTCTCTTTCCCTTCTGAGTTTCAATTTGATGTCCAGCCCCAGCACCAAGGAAACCACAGCAGGGCTGTGCTGTCAGCTGAGGAACTTCCTTTAACGGGGATTAATTAATTTATTTACTCGAAGCAGGGTCTTATAGAGCCCTGTTTAACTTTGAATTATGGATCCCTTGCCTCTACCATCACGACAGGCTTTAACCGGGTTTCTTTTATGTTCTTGTTTTTCTTTTCTTTCTTTCTTCCTTTCTTTCTTTCTTTTTTTTTCTTTTCTTTTTTTTTTTGAGGCAGGATTTCTCTGTGGAACAGCCTTGGCTTTTCTGGAACTAACTCTATAGACCAGGCTGGCCTCAAACTCACAGAGATCCTCCCGTCTCTGCATCCCAGGTGCTGGGATTAAACCCGTTTCCACTACCACTCAGGGTCTGATGCGGAAGGCTCTGAAGAGCCTTGTTCTGCGGACATCTCCCGCCCCTGTGCATCCCGGAGGGCCCTAGTGCGAGCAAGCCCTGGCTTTTCAGCCCCAGCTTGGGGGACCGTCCCTTGGACTGGGCCAGAGCAGCGCGGAGGGGGTAGGTAGGTCTGGCACCCAACAGCAACGCGGCAGGGGACCAGTCTCCCCGCGCGGGTGCAGCCGCAGAAAGCCGGGCGGAACGCTGCAGCCATCTTCGGGGTGGAGGCGGAGAAGGGGCGCGGCCTTGGCCTGGAGCCGCCCCGGCTGAGCGGCAGCGCGGACTTTCCTGCTCCTGCGGCGCCCGGCCGGCCGCGCA